TATTTTGCCTGCACGTGTGTATGTGTACTATGTACTTGCTTGGTTTTCATGTAAGTTAGAAGAGGGTGTCAGATCTCCTGGACCTAGGGTTACAGGTGGTTGTGAGCCATGATGTGAGTGCTGGGAATGGAACCTTGGTCTCCTGTAAAAGCAAGAAATGTTCTTAACCATTAAGCCATCACTCGAGCCTATCTATCTTATTTTTTGAGACAGGGTCTGTCACTGAACCTGGATCTCACAGACATTGCTAGACTGCCTGGCCAGCAAGGTCCAGCACTGGAATCCCAGGTGTACATTGTAGTGCCCAGGTTTATTCATGGGAGCTAGGGATCCAAACTCAGGTCTCCAGGCTTACCTAAGCACCTAAGCCATTTCCCTAACCCCTTCAGAAACTTTAGAAAACTGTAACTAAGGCATTTAAAATCATGTATAAGGTCAGTGATTGCATATTGCATTTTGTGTTTATTTTATAACTCTATGTTTTCTCAGCTAATGGAATGGTCAACTGATTGAGGTTCATGTGTCAGCACCAATCCATGGTCTGCTTTTGTAAATAAAGTTACATTGAAGCACAGACACACTACTTCCTTTGCCCACTGTCTGGGAGTACTTTAGTGACAGAGTGGAGTCATTGCAGAAGAGACTGTCAGGGTTTAAAATCTGATGTGTATATTCTAGAAAGTGAGAAAAGTTTGCAGGTCCCTAATAATCCAGCTAATAACACACACACACACACACACACACACACACACACACACACACACAATTTTTCAGAAAAGAAAGATGGAAAATTACTGCTCCAAAAGCCTGTGAGCACACCAAGATTAGGGTATGTCCCTTGTCCCTACTTTGTATAACACTATGCCTCAGTTTACCCAATGGAGCTGAGGTGGAGGAAGGTGTATGGGGCTCAGCCTCGACCTCACAGTGTGACGTTGCTGTTCATCCCAAGCCAGAAAGGCCCAAGGCGGGTGAGTTGGAAACCACCATGATGAGGTGGGAGAAGTTTCTTAACGGCAATCCTTCTGTTTTGCTATTTCCTTATATATTATCTCAGAACTAAGTCTTAATTTAATGTTATCATACTGTATCTTAAGAGTGGGCACAAAATGAACATTGTGGAACCTCTTTCAAAATCCTTTCCAAGGTTATTGGTTATCATGTTGCTCAGTGATCTTTAATAAGGATAAGCCACACAATACATTTCTCCTAGAGTGCAGTGCCGGAAGAAGCACTGTTCATTCAGATGGATTCACACAGGTTTTAAAATTATAGAACTGTGTGGCCAAACATGTTGCTCATTTAGTGTTGTCTGGGAAGATCACTGGAGATAGTTTATGCTTCATTTCAGCTACCAGGTCATCCTGTGGTAGTAAGATTTGTTACTCTAATGAAATATTTGAGGAGATTGATTTATAAATACGAAAGATTCATCTGGGCTCATGGCTTAGAGGCTTCCAGTCCCTGACTGAGTGGCCCCACTGCATTAGGCATCTGGTGAAGCAGTGCAGTACATCGTGAGCTCATGGTGGATCAAAACCACCTCACTCATCAGCCAAGAGGGAGAGCTGGAGTCCAAGGGCATCCCCCCCAATAGCCAAAGGACCTTCCACAAAGCCCCAAAGGTCCTAAAGGTCCACAGTACCTCTAAACAGTGCCACTCTTGCGGCCAAGTCCTTGACACATGGGCCCCTGGGGAATGCAACACTTACTTCTTCTAACCATAGTCAGTCAATGGGCATACCCTTCTTTCAATCTCACTCACATCTGGATGTTTATATGGTGGTCCAGCCTTAGGAATTTACACCTTTTACACTTACCCTGCTTCCTCTTCTGTACTTTATTTGGCAGGGTGTTTTAAGGCTCAACTAAGAGCCAGACCTGTGAGACACAAAAAATGGTATCAGTTATTAGCATGTTAGTGTGAAGTAGACAAGCCTTCCCTTTTTGTTTTCTGGCAGTAGGCTAATGTATGTCACTTGGTTAGTTTTAAAAGCAGTTGCCACCTGGGGAAATATGGCCATCGAAGGAGCAGAAAGAAGACTTAAGGAGGCCTCAGGATGAACGGCGCCAGTCATGCCATTGAAGAAGTTTGAAACCTTCTCCTTGGCTTTTACCAGACTCCTTCTCATATCCCTTCCATCACTCTTTCCTTTCTTCTTCCAGAGTCTTCCTTACTGTAATACTCCAGAACACATGTGTATTTAAAGCAGATTAATCATTCAAGTACCATGATTAGTTCAAGAATTGTGTCTTTTCGAGAAAGAATGAGCTAATTAATTTTCTCTCTCTCAGGGAGCCTGGTCTTAGATGTGAGCTAATTAAACAACTGCACATCAAAAGAAATGAAGTGTATCTTGTAAATAGGATTTTATTGAAAACAGATCAAAGGGAGATACACCAGCCCAGTTCCCGTGTCCTCTGATTTCACTGGGCATCGGGGAGATGGTGAAGGGAACTAACTAATAAGGAGAGAGGCAGAAGTTTACTTCTTGAGTGGTTTTTGGTAGGGTTTCTGATGCAGGCCAGGAGGACAGATCTGGGTTTAAGACCCAGGATACATCTAAAGCTATAGGGTAAGAAAAAAGATCTTTAGACTTGATTATCCCTGCCTAGCTGGCTATGTGACTTTTGGCAAGTTAATTAACCTCTCTGAATTCATGCCTCTCATATGTAGTGAATGAATCTTGGTTGCTTCTCTACCCATTTCCCAGGAGACTTGTGACAATCAAGCAGGGTTATTAATGTGATGGGGGTTTGGAAACATTCTAAAAGGGCTACGAAACATAAAGCATTTTTGGCATTGTTAGTAAGGTCTCAGTAGGCAAAGTCAGCTAGAAGAAGAGGCAACTTTTCCAGATGATTTTTGGCCAAACTTCTAGATTCAGGGGCTGGCGCTGGGGAGACAGCCCTGAGAGCCACTTCTGTAGACCTGAGACCAGACCTCATTGCTCAAGCCTGGGAAATTGGCTGCCATAGCAACAACTCAAACAAAGAGAGGGATGGGGAAAACTGTTCGTGTTTGCTATGACGTCCTAGATTCCTGTTCATGCAGATGTGATAAGGGTGACCTTCCTTGTTCTTCAATGTTTTTATTGTGTGAGCCTAGAGAGATAAAGGGCCTGAGGCAGCTGGTGACCCACAGTGAGAAGGACCTAGCACCATCAATTTCAACAGCAAAGGATGGAAAGGACAGCAAGAAATGTATATTTGCTGCCAAAAAAACTTCCTGTCTTCTGTCGTGGTGGTGGTGGTGGTGGTGGTGGTGGTGTTGGTGGTGGTGGTGGTGGTGGTGGTGGTGGTGGT